CTTGACGTCGTCGGGATAGCGAGTATGGCGGTGGCGGTAGTTATGGCAACTAGGGTGGGGTGGCAGTCTTGGCTCTCTGCTTCTGCGAGGCAGTGATTGATACGCCGGGTGCGTTGGTTGATGAAGAAATGAATGATGCAACTGGGGAGCGAGGCGCGTAGGGGACGTTGGGCAAAAGTCGTATTCGCGAAAAGACGCGTTGTAGCCTAGTAGTTGAACAGATTGATTGACATGTAGTACAATTTCCTGTGGGTACTATGGTAGTTGCCATTTGGACGTTCCCATGCAGATGTCAAGTGAGATACGGCATGTCTTTGCAAAACACGGCGCCAAAAATACCCGCACCCGAGGAATACAAAACTACAGAGTACAAACAGCCCAGTAACAACACGTTCACTTGAGCACGCATGGGAATTTACTATGGAAACTCGGGCCTCTTGACAGTTTTACTGCAAAGTGCCAAAGTCGAATGTTTAATTCCTACCCTGGACGACCAGTCGCGTCAAATTCCCGGTTGGCTGGCGCGTCGCGCGTCCTCGAGCAGCCAAAGATACGATGACTAATAAGCGCCACGACCCGAACAAAGCTCCCTACACCGGGTATCATGGCACTCGTCGAACCAAGTCCGTGGTCGAAGTCTAAAAGTACCATTTGTATCAAGCTGGGAAAACCACCGAGTGTCCAGGGAGTTTGTAGACAAGGGTTGCGTCTGCTGGAATACAAGCTTATCTTGACTTCTTCACTGGGCCGTGCTTATCTGCGGCGGCTTCCCGAGTTCCAGTGGGGCAGGACGGATGACACGGTAAGGAGGAAACATCAAATGCTGAATTATGTACGTGGCTTAGAACAATCACAATCTACCTACTTGGGAATATATTCTGCTCGGGTAAATATCCGTCGGCGGCTCAATGGCGTTGCTGGGAATGGACGGAAGCCAGGTCGATGCGGCCCTTGGCAGGAAGGAGCAAGTGCCACGACCTCGGGTTGATGCCAAAGCTGCACCCCACGTGGGTGTGTGCTTGACGGGACGGGAAATTGTAGATAGACATGGTGGGCTATTGCAGGAAGCCCGGCAGATGGGTGAACTTGTCTTTCAGGCTCCTTGATTACCATCGGTCATTTTAGACGACCAGTACCTAGAAACCAATAATGGGCGTTCTGAGCCCCAAACCCTTTACCTTAGGTAGGTAGGGTTCATTGTGGGACGTGAGATGGCCCGCCGCAGAACGCAAAGCCACAATGGAAGCCGGCAGGGCGACCAACGGCATCGCTCATCTACATATAATGCTGGGTCGGATTGAGTATTCAAGTCTCGAAAATACCTGACTGCCGTAGATAGACCCGGCAGAATGCGTCGAGGGCCTTCTCAAGCACGGGGGTACCTCACTAGGTGTTGGCTATTCCCTTACGAGGCATTCGATATTACCTGCTGGTTATCACGGCCGGTCGAGCGTCCACCGCGACAGCATCCGGGCTTACCGACAGACAGTCCGTCCTCCAAGCAAAAACTACTTGACCCTTGCTTAGGGCGAGATCATTACCTGAAGAAGCAACCCGATCAGCGCCCGCCGAATATTATTTCGTATAGAAGGCTATGCCATAGCTGAGAGGAAAAATGATGATGCAAGATGGGGGCCCAGCATTTTATTGCCTGAGGAGAACGAATGAGGGTTCAAGTTGATGGCAGTAGCAGAGCGTGATGAAGGACTGGCCATTAGCCCCCTTGGCCCTCCTCTTAACTCTAGAAACATCTGATATTGGAGCAACCTGCCCGTCAAGTTGCCGCACCTCTGCCGATGCCAGCTAGCTGGCTGGCTCTTTGGGAGCATGACTTGGTCTATTCTGACTGTGTTTGCTTGGGAGCCAAAAATGCCCCGACAAGGCGTTTAGCTAGGCATGGATCTTGCCCACTCGACAACGGAAATGCCTCACCGTCGGAACAAGAAAAAAGTGCAGATAGGATCCTGGAGAGTGGCCTGACTTTCCATTTCTACATCAAAACGCGGTTGCTGTGCCGTGTTCCGTAGCTTCAGCCGACCATGTCAACACCAAGGGACTGTGAGAAAAGTTGCCATCTGTACGGAACCTTCGCAAACACTTCCAGCTGTCGTTTGACACCCACCTCACTGAATGTCGGTCCCCGCCGCAACGGGTTGTCCACGCGCGTGGTCAAAATGAAATCTTGTGCCTCCAACTGCAGCGGCCATGCCTCGAGGATGTGATGCAACGATCTTTGCCTTGTACTCGCTGCTTACACGAGAGCTGTGCCGTTGGCGATCGCTTGCCGATGGTAATATTGCCATGAACAAGTACCGCTTTTCATGGCGTTACAAGAGAATAGGAACTTGCTGAAAAGTAAAACCCACAATTAGAGTACTAGTAATTATACGAAGTCGGCCACTAGTAACAGACATTCTGGGAGGCAACCCAGCAACTTCCTCAACGGCCATTTGAGACAAGAGACTCTCTAGAGAGGCTTTTTAGACGGAATTGCCTGCCAGATGTTCGTCGACATGATTCTTCCATGGGAGGGGCTTGGCCCACCACACATACCCTTCCAGGCTGATCGACGGCGTGCGTCCCAGGATGTTCGGCCGGACTTGGGGCCAAGCTTTCCTTGCGCACCATGGTACCGTTCGTTGCCCATTGATCCGATTCGACGGAACCTAGCCACAATGACAAGAGTAATGCGGAGTGCTTCAACCAGATTAAGCAGCTCTGCTCAATACCGAGTAACTAGTGGTCGAACTGTCGGGAGAGTAGTATTGTCATGAATGAATTTCCGCAAGAAGTATACGACTTAATACTCAGAGCGTTAGTCATGTGTGATATCTCTCATCGTACACTATCGTCTTAACTTGTCGAACCAGACACCATATTTTAGAGGAGTGTTGACTGCGCGAAAAAGAGGCTGATTAGACAAGGATACGCACGCTGGAAAGAGCCGTCCAGGCAATAAATACATAGAGTTCAACGGGCTGCAGTAATAGCAAAAATCATGCCTCCTTCTCTGAGGCATTAAAACACGCCGTGCGAAAGCAGTTTGTAACTCATTTCAGTGCGTCGGTTGGATTAGCGTGCATGATGCGTTGGGTGGATGCAAATCTTGTCGGTTCATCTAGAGTTTGGTGGCTGGTGTTGGTTGGCAATATTTATCATGGTTCTTGAGTCTGTGTAGCCATGTTCCTGGACAGCTATTGATGCCCGTAATAGGGAGTTGGACTCGGGTGGGTGTTGTTCTTCCACGGGTTTTAGATTCCTGCTTCCCCCATGTACCCTATCCTCTGCGGCGTGCACTTCTCAAGAAAACCCCCTTTATCTCCCTCTTCTTCTCCTTGTTGGACTGCAACGGACCGAGGTTACCATTGCCTGTGTCATTTCCGTCTTTCGTTGTGTACCAGGATTCCCCTGGCCGCAGCTTGGAAAGTCCAACTTGCTCAAAAACCGATCATGTACCCGTGTCTCTGCGCGTCGCATCTGCATCCGCATATAATGATCGCTGCCTTCCTCCTTCTCTTACCGGGCCGGTCTGGTAATCTGGGTGTCTGGGTACCATTATGTCTCACAAACGCCAAAGCTGTACTGGATTCTTGGAGAAGATGGAGCAGAATGCAGATGAGGTAGGTGCTGTAAGGGCTCTGGACTGTAGCAGGAGAGAGTGCAAGGCCTGGTTGTAGGGGCACCAATGCCATGTCTAGCAGACTGTAGCTAGATATTATATTCGCTGGCGAGTCAGGAGGAGAAAGCTGGGAGCATGGACTCCCGATCAATTGATGATTGATGGCTAGGTACTTGACTAGTAAGCTGGGCTAGCATTGAGTAGAGTTGTCGGGCGTGGTACTAGTTGGATTCCTGCTGTTGATGACTGACGGTGACGGTGAAGGTGAAACTGATCTTTGGCCTGAGCCATCTGGACTTGGGCAAGTCAGGGGCCTGGCTGGTGAGCATTGGAGTCTCTTTTGCAATATGGCAGGTACTAAAATCAAATCAAGTACCTACAGCGTACCTGCCCGGGTGGGCAACATGTAACTACTTACCTAGGTAGGTCTAAGTAGTTACTAATTAATATATTTTAGGTCCATAGCAAGCAGATCCAGTTTTGATGCAAGGTTGCATCTCACTTGTTGGCAAGTTCCCAGCGTCACGGGCAATCCTGGCCCATGCAAATAAATGCCTTTTTGCTTCGAAGGGTTGGAGGGAGACGGGCATCCGTCTGGTGGTTTTGCGTAGCTGGAGGATCCGCAGCCACCCATCGCCCCGCTTTCCTGGAACAGCTGTGCCCACAACCCACCGACTACAGCCCACCGCCCCCGCCCACCGCCACTTGCGCCCACTGTGGTCAAGTGCTCACCATTCAGTTGCGTCCAGAGGTTGCCGGGGCCAGACGTATCGTGTATCACCTTGCAGCTTTGCTGCGTGGTAGATACTTGGCTGGCATAGCCAGTTATTACGCGTACCGCACAGTCTTCTCTCTATGGCGGCCAAGCCCATGCAGCCCGTCCGTCGGCTAGCGGGCAGCGATATTGCAACTCCAGAGTAGCACCAGACATGTGGCTTCCCCGACCTCAATGTGCCCAGGTGCCAGTAGAAGTACGGAGATGCCACATGCACCAGTGCCAAAGTACACGTACCAAGTACCACCAGGCCGCTCACTCACTCCACGTCGACCTTTCAGCGCTCGCTCGCTAAGGTCAACGGCGTAACCAATTCTAGTCTAACCAAACCGCCAACGCCGTGTCCGTTACTAACGACTTCGCCAAACGTCTACCTCTGCTCCTCTCTCGCGACTCTCCCTCTGCACAGCATCTGGTATTGCACGGATTTCCTCAAGCCCTCATCGGCCGCCGTTGGACCTTCCTCCGTCTTATTACTGTACGCAAGCACCGCCATTCGAAAGCCATAGTATCCGCCGTCGCGTTGTCGCTGCCCGCAATGGTCTTCCTCCCCCCCGGCAATGAGACATGAGTTGAAAGAATGTGTATGTTCGCTCGACCTGTCAATGGTCTCTTTCTTTCTTTGTACCCTTCTTCCACCGGCCCGCCCTCCTGCCCTCCTGCCCTCCTGCGTCTTGATCACAGGAGCCTGCATCACCAACCCGCTCGCCTCTAGGCAATTGCTTGTGCTGACCTCTGCCAGCGCTCACGGACCTTCAAAACAACATGTATGTGCCTCTTCGCACCCGCCCAACCCGCCCTTCAAACCATACCGATAACGCCGACTTCTTTGACTGCCGTCTCAAGGATTGATGCCGCTCGACTGCCTGGTTGCTTGCTGCCGAGCCGTCGCACCGCCATAAACTT